TGAGCCTCGTCATTGCTCACCCGATGTTTCCACCAGACAAGCAATGCCTCGGAGACATCGGTGGTCGAATACAGAAAATCTATTAGCATCCTCGACGAGGAAGGATGTTGTTCTCAGTCGAACAAAATACCAAATAAAATCTCCATAATTCTTAGTGACAGGTCACGGATGAGGTGTGTATGTGTGTGCTCCTTTCTTAGAGACCAGCATAACCTATCGTAACGCTGGTTCTCTAGTTATTTTTCTCATCCACTTGTTAAACGGATCACAATGGAATTTTTATTTGCTTCTACATCACGGATGCTACAATTAGTATAGGAGAATTTGTGCTTTTTTCCACCATGCACTTGGTAATGCATCCACCTCTCAATTATTACCTGATTGAGAAGTAGATACAAATGCAGTTGACAGATCACGTAGACCTTGTGTTTCGTGCACAATCAAGGTCACGTATGTTCACGTTTACGTGATCCAGTTAGAATGATTGAGGTTTCTTTCAGGCCGATTAAACGCTCTTCCTCTTCAGTCTGAAAATCTGAGTTCTCCGTGGAACCAAATTAATCTATGTGGTCGATAGTGTCATCATCACCAGATCGATGACGGTGATCGATTTGGGAGAACCGGGTGAATTGAAACTTATTTCACAGCTGACGCGAAAGACTGTATTAATATTTACATTACTTGATATTGATCAGTGGTAACAACAATCTCGACACCACTCTCCGTAACGTCTTTGCATTCCATCTCCCTCGTCCATACTGCAAACGTTCTCCCATCAATAACTCCATTATACATTAATGAGTGTGATTTCTCAGTAATTTCGATCGATACTGTTGCATTTGATCTTCGCTTACTTTCCTTGGAAATGTAACCATCCGATGTGTGCGTGTAGCGGTTCTTCAACCGATTGTCCCGCAACGGCAGTTTTCTTCTCTAGGCTCTTGCTTTTCTCCAAGTTTCCCGATAGGTCAATTCCAGCTGGACGTGATCATCAAATCGCGGAACAGAAACTCCTTTACTGTAAATTGGTGAATAGCATCAGGACAGGTTCAGTTTCCAACCAGTCCTGTATAATTGAGGACTATCAGGACGTGGTTACCTAACCATGGCATAGTCATCAGAACCATCAAGGTTCAGATATCACGTAGCGGCTTAGCCCCTCGATTATTACAAAAGCTAGACCACCATTAATCTTTTCCTCCTAACATAAGCACTCTTCTTCTCTACCGGGCACAATCAAGTCTACCGTCGAGATTTAGCGTGTGCCGTCATTATTTGGCAATAGCGATCTCCCAGGGAAAGTTTCTTCATTAGATATAGCAACCTGGACATTTCCAGGATCAAGTTTTACTTTAACTATTATTGTGCTTTCAACGAGCTCGAAAAAACCAGAACCGGTACAATTCTCCACGATCTACTTTCTGGTTTCTGCTGACGTTGCCAAAATAACAGTCTAGGCATAGCCAAACTTACATCAAACATTTCGTATGTTTCAGAATATAACGTTTCTACAAACCCAATCCTTGGTTCGGTTTCCTCTTGGGAAGGATGTCCAGAAAGAATGTGAGTGATTATTAGTGACACGTTCCGACGAACACCAGCAACCACCTAGTCGCTAAAGACGTTCCGTTTGTTTGTCTAGCAGGCCACGAAATAATACGGAGCATTTACTAAGAGAGTTTCTGAGGTTTGAATTCGATCATATCAGGAGTATCGTTACATACAGAGAAAAGGAAATGTGTGTACTAGCAAGCGTGAAAGTAGTCGGTTTGGGAACGTGTACGACCGGATCCCAATCTTGGAGATTAGTTCCAAGTTGAGCGAGGTGAAATGCCCGGAATAAGATATTGAAAACGGGTTTTTGGTCCAAATCGTGTTCACCTACATGTCAGTGGTCTCGAAGCTGTCTGTCTGCTGGTCGATTGGTTGGAGTGCTTAGGTTAAATCCGTGAGATCCCGGGTTCGATCCCAAACTGGGTTAATGAATTCGTACTGTCGATGAGACCCAACCAGGTTGAAATGTCCAAATAGTTCCCCGCAGCAGATGCTGAGAATGCAGAATGACGAAGAAACATGTTTTCAGTGTTTATTAATCATATATATATATCATATATGAATAACTAAATGTAAGGGTTTATCTAAGAATGTTCAAGACTGTGGACTATGATTGGTACCCACTTTCAGTGTAGGTTTAATTATGATTCAAAGTTTGGAAGATCCAAACTGTGTCCTGGGTTCTTATACAGACACGTATCTGTAATTAGTTATTCCATATTGTGTTATATTGGCATGATTATTGAACGCTGAAATCAGGTCTGTTTTTCACTCTGTGTTCTCAATGTATATTTTGTTAGACTTCTTGGATTTGTTTCGAATTGGTTGGATTTCATCTCCACTGCGAATCTGTTTACCCAGTTCTCAGGGTAGAACGGGGGAACTCAACGGTATCAAATAAGGTCCAAAAAGGTCGGAGTGGTTGTGCAACGAGTGCTTCCGAGCAGATTTTCCTTGTTTTCGGTTTGCGTTAAAAGTCCTTGTATACCACTCATACAACAAGAAACTGGATATCGTAAACCAGGTACCACAAATTCTTTCTAATAAGCTTCGCATTTCAAAATCCGCTTGTTGTTGTTCGAATATTAAATGGATAATTTCTGATTTTGTCTAATTTTGTTTCAAATCTCATGTTGACCTTTATTTACAACAGAATAATGTGGGTGAGAATCTATTCTACTTCTATCGAGCTCTGCTCCAGCAACTCAATTCCGGACCACGAGATGCGGTGACCGGAAAGGCTCGCTATACTCTGGACAGTTCCACGTTGCTTCAAGCTGAATTGACCGGCAAACCAATTGTGAGTGTTCCCGTTTCACATACACAAACACTAAAATACAAAGTTAATGTTGAAGTTTTCAATATCCTTCGTTTTAGGAGCAAGCGGCACTAAATATTGTTCAGTTAGAGGTTGAGGAATAAATACAACACCAAATAAACAAAGTTTAGTTCTTTAAAAATCAACACGTTGTGGTGCTAACACAGTGCATTGGAGAACGAAGCCTACATGAACGTTTGCAACGGGGAATGAAAGTTTGGTGTTAATAATTCCACACGTGCATTTCATAATCATTCCGCAACTTTTTATCGTTTCGTGTGTGTCAGTCCATAGTTGTTGTTCTTATGAAGGAATGATGACTACATCGGTCACGAACTCATGTTTTTGGAAAAATAGCAAGTTATACGGTCCTGACAATCGTGCGCTAAAGGACTGCGTTGTCTGAACAGCAGCACCACCCACACGGCGTTTGTGTGGTGTGAAGGCATGCCTGGCCGCGAGGCCAGTGAGTGGTATTCATAAGCGATCACACAAACTATATATATTGCAAATTCAAACAAATCTGCACGAGTCTCAGATGCATTCACCGTACTATTGAAAGTACTGTTGAAAGAAACCAGTTTGTTGAGCGTGTTATTTATCTGGGGAGCGATTTTTGGTGTTAAAGCAACTGTTTACCAGCTGAATACAGTCCATTCCATCGGAAAACCAAAGTGGTCTTTTTAGAGTTTGGCAAAATATATCTTCAAATACCTCTCAACCTGTGTATGCATAGCCTCCTACCAATCCCAGGCGTGCACCGGAGTGCGAGTTCGCTCATCGACCGGAAGAAGCCAATAATCATCGATTTCGTACATTCTCATCAAAACCCAACTTGATCAACAGATCAGGGTCTAACGTGCCCGAGCGATAAACGACTGAATTTTTACTCCACTAACACCTTCATCATTGCCCAGTAGTTCGTTACCAAAGTGTTTATCTGTCGGGAGAACCATTTAATGTCCAACGCGCTGGCACCGTGAGAGTCCCGGTTCAATGGGTGACCTGTAGCGATCAATGCACCGATTGCGTTTTGGGTTTTTTGCGCGAAAATGTCATTGGTGGTGGATTCACTTGAAGTTGCACCGGTTGAGACAAAATTAACAAAATGCTTACTCCAATTAAGCGTTGTAACCGTCAGCAGAAAGTTTGATCACCAGATTATATATGTATTAAAAATATTGGATATTCCAATCAATCTAGCGGAACCGGATTTTTCAGTACTGCAACGCTTGTGTCACGATTTGAAGGCCCATTTTTTCTCGTTGATATTCATTTGCAAGCGCACAATCTGTTGGTAGTCAAACGCTCTAAGTTGCTATTGAATTGTCTCGGAGATCGTGTGTTGGAATCCCACCTTCACCAAATATCCAAGACCTCTCATTGTCTTCATCATCGCCTTTCAGTGACGTGTTTTATCAGACAGACATGGCAGATTACAGAAGGAAGTATCACGAGTCTGGTGTTGAGGTTGATATCGTAGCTACATCAGGCTTACTTCTGAGAAACGTGGTTCGAGCCTTGTCAATGCAC